TGCAGTGAAAAGAAAATAAGAGCTAGTAGATATATCACCAGGAGGAAGCAGAGTGTTCAGACTGTGGACTATTACATAGTGCAGGGGGCCTAGTCTTTGACAAGTTAAGGATGTAACAGAGAGGAAGAAGGATGGTCCACACTAGAACAAAGGAGGAATTTGAGAAACATGATGGCCACATGCAACATGCTGGCTCATGACTTCAGCAGCTATAGATACCATTATTGTTTATGTGTTTCATTTAATTTATATATTTGAGATAACTGGGGAAATGTGAATTTTTCCTAATTAGATCCCAAGGAATTACTGCTAGTTGTGGTAGATGTTATGCAAGAATAGCTTTTAAGATTTGCACCTGAAGTTTGGAGAAATAAAATACTTGCTATGCATTTGCTTTCAGAGATTTCTGGAAACAAAAAGAGGTAAATGAAGCAAATACGGCCAAATCTTAATAATTATTCAATTTGTATAAGTATAGAAGTGTTCATCTGTCTCTTGTTAACAACAAACACTTCTATAGAATATGAGGGAGAGAAAATATGAGAGGACACTATGAGGCAGAAAGATGGGAGAATGGTAGAGTAGGGTATTTGTCCTAGAGTAAACAAAGGCTTCTGATGGGTGGGACAATAGTCCCAGTAGCAACAATGACCATAATAGCAACAGAAGCTATGAATTCCCACTCCTGCTGTCAGATTCAAATCTTACTCCCTCACTTAGCAAGTAGGACAAATCACTGTAGTAGTTACATGATCTGAGCTTAAGTTTCTCTTTCTTTAAATGGACTTGAAAGTGTATGTCATTAAAGAAGGTGGCACATACAGTCTGGCCACTTAGTACCATGCTCTGTATGTAATACAGTCTGCTTTGCATGTAGAAATGATGACAGAGAGGTGACAGAGTTACCAAAGGTCCCCATCATTGAAGTTCCATAATTGCTCTGACTGCCTAAACCTGTTAGCTAAGTGCCTGTGACAGGCAGTTTCAAAATGTCTCCCATGATTTCCACTTGCTGGTACTCAGCCCTTGTGCCACCTCCTTCCTTATGGACTGGGCTGATCTATAAAGCTAGTAAGACACTGGGAAGAGGAGATGACTCCCAAGGCCAGCTCAGAAACATCATCATAGTTTCTGCTTGCTTTCCCTGATTGTTTATTCTTTTTTTTGGGGGGGGGGGTCCAGTCATGGAGCCTGAACTCTGGGTCTGGGTGCTGTCCCTCAGCTTTTCAGCTCAAGGCTAGCATTCTACCACTTGAGCCACAGAGCCTCTTCCGGATTTTTGCTTATGTGGTACTGAGGAATCAAACCCAGGGCCTCATGCATGCAAGGCCGTTCTACCACTGAGCCACCTTCCCAGCCCTGATTTTTTATTCTTTGGAAACTTATCTTCTAGGCTACAAGGACATTTCCATGCCACAGGACAGTCAATTGGTCCTATGGAAGGTTCCATATATCAAGAACTGAGGCCACCACTAACAGCCAGGACAAACTGATGAGGTGTCAGGTGAGTACCACTACAGAAACAAGCCTCCAGCCCCAGCTATACCTTCAGAGGATGGCAGCCCTAGTCCATTTCCTGACTGTAGCCTTCTAAGAAGGCTGAAAATGAGGCCACTCCTATATCTGGCCCCACAGAAACCAAGAGATGTTTTCAGCTCTCAGTTGGGGGAGGATTCGTTATACAGCAACAGAGGATTAATATGGCAATTAAGTAACAGGTTACAGTACCTCCTCCTGTTCCCAATATATAAAATGAACACAGCAACAGCAGGTACATGGTAAGAACTAATCCAAGGTGCCTGGCCTACAGTCTGCACACTGTCCAAGCCTACAGCAGCATCCATCCACTTAAAAACCTGTGTTCATGCATGGGTCCACAGGGCATTCAGATATAGAGGCCTGGCAAATCAACCAGGGCCACAGAAGCAAGCATCTGTGTAAGTAGGATCTCTGCCCTCTGCCCTCAGGTAGCTACCTTCCTGGCAGCACCAAAGACTAGTGACTGTGGGTGAAATGGCTTCAGGTTCAAATCTCTCCTACTTCCCTCTTCAAAGCGAGTGTCCATGACATACATCTATACATGTGAACATTCTTCTTCCAGAACCATCTCTAACACCATTCCCAAATGTCCAGATCTCACCAGAACACTTTGTAGCCAGATTCCAAAGGCAGGAATCTTACCTCTCCTGATCCCTCCTCTTGCTATGTACCCCCCACTCAGTATTAATAGCTGAGAGCAAGACTATAACTCTCAGAGAGGGGTAGAGAAAGCAGAGACCTGAGGCCATCTGGCAAACTGGCCAGGTGGGAAAAGCACCTGTTGCCTCCCAGAGAACCCCAGAAGTCCACAGCACTTAATCAAAACCCAGCCAGCACCAATACTCACCCCCTACCCCTCTACCCCTCCACCCCCACAGGATCTTACAGGTCTAGGGAGGGTATATATGCTGTTTTCCTCCACAAGGGAGCCCAGTACAATGGGTGTATTCCTGTCATCAGATATGGGAGCCACATGTGTCGCACTTGTCAGACACTGTCTAGACTCAAACAGGCCTGGACCACATCCTGACTATACAGCCTGTGGCCCAAATTATTCTTCTGAACTGAGAGTGGTCTCAGTCAGTAGTAATCAGACAAAGACAAAGCTTTATGGAATTAGAATTTCACAAAACGCATTTCTTCTGGTCTTATAGTCAACTGTATCCTTAGTTCTCACCCTTGACCATGTATATTGGTAAGTTGTTTAAAAGCAGGTCCTCAGACTCATTCTAAGCCTGTGCAGTCAGAATCTCCAACAAGAAAACCCTTTTTCTGTATTTCTTTTCATTCTGAAATTCAACTGGGTTTGAGAGACACTGGTCTACAGGCCTCCTGATCTCCTGGGACCCCAGTGACTCCTGGTGCCCGTGGTGCTCACAGCTTCTGGCCTCTTCTTCCTCTAAAGTCTCACTATATCCAACTTCCAACTGTGCTTTACTTGTGCCCTTCCCACTCTGGGGTGTTCTAGCCACATCATGGCAGGCATCCTCCAAAGGAAAAATTCCAGTTTTCAATCTGCTAACAAAAACAGCTGCAGAAGAGCCAGGGCAGTTCCCAGACTCCTTCTTTGAACCATGGCTTTGATGATGAGGTATAAGCCCTTAGCATGTCATATACCCAAAAAGTTCAAGACTGTGTTTCTCCAGATGGCTCCAAACAATCATTCTGAATGCTCACTTTGCACCTGGTTAACTTTTACATAATAGTACTGATTGGTTTCCAGACCACAGTGAAGGTTCAGATCCCATGCAGGCATATGGAGAGAGAGAGAGAGAGAGAGAGAGAGAGAGAGAGAGTGTAGTGTGTGGGACTGGCAACCCCATGTTTCCAAAGCTGTCTTCTAAACTAAACTCCTGAAGGCTAACATTCCACTTTAATGTCTAGTTAAAACTTGAGACAAGACATGCCCTGACAAGGTACATATCCACATTATGGTGCCTAGGAGAAGAGTCTCAATCTTGGCCTTGCTGACAGACAACACACACACATACCCTACTTCCCTCCCACAATCTGCCTGGACAGTGATGCTAGCTACCTGAAAACCCAGGATATGCAGGACAAAGAACAAAAACCCCAAATGTCTACACTGTTCCAGATCACAGCTAAGCAGAGGACATCAGAAATGCCTTAGTTGAGACCGAAGATAACCCTCACACCAAACTCCACTCAAGAGCTCCAAGAGGTAGTGGGTTGTTTATTAGAAACAATGAATTGTTCCACATTAGGAAAAAAAAAAACAGAAAAAGATGAAGTCAGCCAGTTCAAACAAGCACACAGAGGTTGGCTCCCCAAGCGTAATGGACAGAACACACACAAACTCAAACTGCCACGACATCTTCGGGTACATGCTGAGAACAGCCAGCACATCATTTCGTTGGAATTTGTAATAAATAGATACCTGCTCTGGAGAGGCTTAGATACTTTGTCTGGCTTTTATTGGGACATGCAGTCACTCTCAGTCTCACAGTCATTGTACTGCAAAGCTAGGAATGTTCTGGAATTGGGTTGCAGCAAACACTTTGGCCTATCCTCCCACCATACTTTCACCCTCCTTTTCTGAGATCTACAACTCATCCCCAAGGATGATGCCCCGGTCGTGTTTATTCATCTTAACCTCAGGTGACTGGACTGGCAATGGACACAACTAAACTGGGCTAGCCTGGGATATCTGCTTAAATGGGGATCATGTAGATGTGGTCCTTTGGGGAGGTCAAATAGGATGCACAGATGGGAAAGCAGGCAGGAGAGAGGGCACAAAAGCAGGAATCGGAGCCTGCCCATGTCTTGAAGGGCCCTCCAGCTGCTCACACATGGTTCTGTGAGGTGACCTCTCTCCTGGGGATAAAGTTCTCTTCTGCCTATTCAGCTACTTTGAAATGGATTTCTGTTATTTGGTAGCAAAAACATGAAACCTTGGAGAAAATAACTAAAGCCTCATTGTTACCAATTGCCAGACATTTCCAGGAATTTTTAAAGACTAAAATCAACTCTTTTCCCATTACTGTTTCTAAAAACATACATACACTTTTAACATAAAATATGTAAGCATTTTGCTATGGCAACTGGTTTCAATAACAAGCAAGGCGGCCACCAAGAATGTGGGATCAGCAAAAAGGAAGGCCTCTAGAATCCACCCTCACATGCCTTTCCTGACACTCTTTGGCCAGGCCAGCCTGGGACATGGAGGAGTAGATCTATGCTGATTCTCTGGCATCAGGCCTGGGGTAATGACTGCTCAACCTGCCTGCATACACCAGACAACTGGCTTTCTCTACAGAACCCCAACACTGGACTCAAACAATGGGCAGCGGTGAAAATGGAAAGAGGCCTAAACCGATAACACACCATCTATAGATTCCAAGAGAGAAAGTGAGAAAATGAGTCACTCCGAGAGTGACTGACTGTACTCTCTTTTCCCACCACAGCATTAGTGAGAGAGTAAAAAAGGGCGAAGTACAGACCTCTGGCTGGATGGCTTTAAACACGGGGATGTCCATGAGCGTGATCTGGCTCTGCAACAAAAGAGAGTCCATGTTAGGAAATGCTAGACATCAAAGACAACTGCCACATCACTTCAGACCCAGAAACTATACTCCTCTCATGATACAGAATAGAGTAAAAGAGAGCGCTTCTTATAAATTCAAATTCCTTTAATGGATAAACGCATAAAACTTTCATTTTAACTGATGGTTATTACATGATGGGTATTACATGGTAGTTTGAAACATGTATATATATGTTGTGTAATGTTTAATTTAAATCAGGTTAAATATATCTATCTTCTGAAGCATTTACCATTTCTTTATGGTAAAAACATTCCAAATCCTCTCTTTTGGCTTTGTGAGATGCACAGTACACAGTTGCTGTCTACTATGAAACAACCCCACTACAACTTCTCTCTCCTACTAACAGTGACCTGGTCCCCACTGATCGGCCTCTCCCTACCCCGCCCTCCTCTGCTCCTCAGCCTCTAGAAGCCATCATTCTACTCTCAACTTCTCTAAGAGTAACTTCTTAAGATTCCACATAGTAGTGAGATCATACTCTGTTTGTCTTTCTGTGCCTGGCTCACGTCACTAACATAATGCCCTCCCGTTCCATCCACACTGCCACAAATAACAGGATTCCGTGCTTTGCTTATGGCTGAATATTATTCCTTCTGTGTACATACCAAAGTTTTCTGATCTATGCATCAACTGATAGACACTTAGGCTAATTCCATTTCTTGCCTATTATAAATAGTGCTGCAATAAACAGGGGAATTCGGGTGTCTCTGACATACTGATTTTTTTTAGATTTACACTCAAAAGTGGGAGTGGCCAGGTCATACATAGTTCTATTTTTAACTTTCTGGGGAACCTCCATACTGTTTTCTGTAACAGCTACACCAAGTTACATTCCTACTAAAGTGTACGAGGGTTTCCTATCTCTAAGTCCCTGCCAGCACTTGTTATCTTTTCAATTAACAGTCATTCTTCCTGGAATAGATAGTATCTCACTCTGGTATTGACTTGCATTTGCCTAATGGTGGCTGATGCTGAGGATTCTTTCAGGTTCCTGCTGGCCATTTATAGGTTTTCTTTTGACAAATGTCTATTTTTGACCATTTATTAATCAGGTTTTAGGGTTATGTTTATTGCTATTGAGGTTTTTAAAGTTACTTAGACATTCTAGACAAGTAACCACATGCCAGTGTATAGGTTGTCTCTTCACTTTTTTTTCTTTGCCAGTCCTAAGGTTTGAACTCAGGGCCTGGGTGCTGTCCCAGAGCTTTTGTGCTCAAGTCTAGCACAGCTCCACTCCAGCTTTTCTTGTAGTTTAGTAGAGATAGGAATATCACGGACTTTCCTGCCTGGGCTGGCTTTGGGCTACAATCCTCACATCTCAGCCTTCTGAGTAGCTAGGATTATAGGCATGAGCCACTGGCACCTCTCTTGTCTCTTCACTTTGATGATTATTTCCTTCACAATACAAAAGCTTTCTTCAGGTCCTATAATCTTAGTCAGCTATTACTGCTTTCATTTCTGTGCTTTTGAGGTTTTATTAAAAAACAAAAACAAAAAACCTTGCCCATTCCAATGTCCTGAAGCATTTCCTCTGTGTTTTCTTCTAGTATTTCATAGTTTCAGGTCTTACATTTAAGTCTTTAATCTGTTTCAAGTTGGGTTTTTATAGCTGGTGAGAGATAAGGGAAATTTCTGAAATGCCTCTCCCATCCCTTTCCCACCTCATAAATCCCCATCCACACCCTTCTTTCTGACTGTGAGATGAACTTTCAACTAAAAAGTTAACAGAGTTACTTGGAGGGTGGGACCCAGGGTAAGGGAACATTTTTTTTTAGTTTGGAAATTTTTGCACTGTATTGATTTTTATTTCATGAATGAATTACTTTTCTAATTTAAAAAGTTGTCTTAAGTGGTGCAAGTTGTTTACATGTATAAAAACAGAACAATGAAACTTGAAATTGTTTTGGAAACAGGAAAAGGGTGGAGGTGAGTGGGGGTGTGATTGATTAGGATGCATTGTATACACGTGTGGGAATGTTCCAATGGAACCCCCTTATATGACTAATGTATGCTAATTTTCAAAGTTGGGGTTAAATACTAAAAATCAGAATGATAAACAAGGATTTTCTACACTAAATTTAAATTTATTTTTAAATTGTGGCTTGAAGAAATTATACTTGTCTTTTGATACGTTTACATTATATGGTAACATGCTATTCAAGATGCCTGCAGAAACTGGTCTAAGTCCCTGAACCATTCACTCCTAGAGATCGGTACAAAACAGAGCGCACGCCCTGGAAAACTCCCATGGCAATCTGATACAGCCACACATATCTGTCATATTTTCTAAGTATCAGGCCTCAACAGACTGGAAATGAAAGAACTGGTTGGTCCTTTACCACAGTCAGTTTAATGCTACCAATGCCATCATTAGAGAAAAAATAAATGTATCAAGTTAAAAGGCCATCCTCAGAATTAGAAAATCGTCTAGGGACAGCAAAAAAAGACATTCTTGCTGACAATTCTATCTCCTTCCACTTGTCACATGGGATAACAGATGTCAGTTAACAACAGGCCTCTCTGACAGGCCAGGGAAAAGGAAGAGCGGAGGACCTTTGGATGCCTCTATCCACTGAACCTGTCCAGTGGAGCAAACTTGGGGTCTGTAATCCACAGAGCCTGGGAGTATATCTCGACACTGTCACGTAATAGCAATGCTCTCTGACATATGACTTAACTTCTCCAGTCTCAAGTGCCACATCTAGAAAGTGGTGATAGTAACACTTATCCTTCAGGACCTTGGTGAAAATTTAAAATAAGGGTGTAGAATACCTGGTGCCTAACAGATGCTCAATAAATATATGAAGGAAGAGATAAAGATTAGCAAAAGGCAAGTCACAGAGATGGAGCCATGAATCAGCATGTGAACTTATGACTTGAAACCAATACAGGAACTAAGAAACAAGGCAGTGCTGGCTTGGCTGGTCACCCATGCACTGAAGCTACTTCAGAGAAAATTGAAAGGAGGTGGTAAAATTGAGGCAGCAAAAAGCCTCCTGTCAAAAATACACTTAGAAAAAACAATACATAAGGTGTGTCGCCACTGACTACAATCCAGGGCTCAGGTACAGAACTGTAGCCAGCTCTTGGCAGTAGTTTGAGACCACTGGGATCTTGGAAAGCACAAGACACAGGCCAGGGATGAATGGGAGAAGGAATGAGCAGGGGCTTCAGCCTCTTTGTCCCCTAGCAGGGGATAGCGCTCCTTATGGGCACAGAGATGAAATGCTAATGGAAGCATGGCAAGCCAACAGAAGGTGGCACAAGGGGAATCCAGGCTCTTCCATGCCAGTTCCCACTCTGTGGCAAGGGGGCAGATGACATCAACAGAACCTTCCAGCCCAGGTGATCTGGGTATGGAATAGCTTGTGAGTCCCACAAGCCTACAGGCCCTGTCCTAGTCTACAGCTGCAGAGCTCAGAGCTATATCCTGGGCAGGGCAGTACAAACAGACTTCCATTTCTTCTGCCAGACTCATCAGGATTGTTAGTCAAGTGCTCCTGATATTTGCATTAATTCTGCCACACTGGGGAACAGAAAGACCTGGTGAAAACAGGAGATTTGAGCCAAAAGCTCAGAGGGTCTTGGAAATCTCTCCTGCTGTTCAAGTTAACTCCTCCTATCCAGGAGAACCAGCAGGATGTTTGCAGTATCATTTAGGAAAAAAACCAAAAGTCTGCCAATGTGAAAATGAGAAAACTTCCTTTCCACTGACATCCATTCTAGACTCTGCTACTAAATTTCTAGGTTTGGGGAAGGGCATTAATGCCAACCTTATATTCTGAGCTGTTTTGGATAGCTTAAGTTTAGAAATCTTCTGATCTCTGCTCAGACCCTAGGTCAAAAAGTGTGTTTAGGTGTTCTATACAACCTCACAACAGGCAGTGGCACCAGACAAAAATAGATTGGTTGTCCTGGCACCTAGTGAGGGGGTTTATAAAGGACTCCCTCATCCTTAACGGCTCAACCTTGACCAAAATGGATGTAGGATACAGCCTGAGGCTATACTAGCTAAAATACTCTGGTAAAAGTTACCAGAGTATGAGCTTCATGCCATTTTATCCCAATACCAAAGTACTATAAAGAGATTGCTGCTTGTGAGGTGTGCAAGGCAGAGGAAGCCTGTCACACACATCATACACCTGAAGGGAGAGGTGGCCATCGGGAGGTCTGAGGGGTGAGGCCAGGACTCGTCCCATACTTGTTTCTAATCAGTAAGTGCACCCAATAATGGAGCTGAACAGAAACACTCATGACTAAGTCTCTTAGTGGCTTCTTTTTGGGGAAATAAAGCCTTGATACAGAGTGCCCCAGAAAGCTGTCACCTGGCAATACCTCCCTTAGTCCTAGTCCCTTCTGGCCAGGACCCTCTACAAAACCCAGGTTTTTAAGGGAAATGGCCAGTTACTACATTACAAAACCTGTCAGTAGAGAAGAATCCTACAGATTGGAAATCTATTGGACAAGTCACAGTGTGGCTCTCTCCCTACAGAGAAAGGGGTAAGCTAGTTGAATAGCCAAAAAGAAAAAAAAAGTGGATTTTATAATTGGTGACCATAGCTTTTCTCGCCTCTAGGGGTGTTTGAGTAACACCTCTCTTCCTAGGCACAGCCTTAATATGAGGGTCTCCCTAGACTCCAAACAGACAAGGGAAAAAAGTGCTGAAAAATCAATACAAGGTTTTATAGTAGAAGACACCCTAAAATCTGCATGTTAGATCACTCCACCAATACAATACATAGCCATGAAGGCCCATAAGAACAGAACAAGAAGGAGTCCACTACTGAGATCTGTTCCTGAAGTCTACCCACTCCCAGAGGCACAGGAAGCACATGACTGACCATATATGTTCCACAGGAAGTAGCAGTGGTTATCCACCAGTACCCCATGATGAGGGGGACATGACTTACTCTGTTCTTTTGAGTAACTAAGCTGGCAATAATTATGCTATCTAGTGTTCTTTCCCCGTAAATACTTCACTACAGATTTTCTAAGATCAAGACCGTTTCTTGTCTGACACATAGTTCACACTTGGATTTGCTAATTATCCAAACACTGTTTTTTACAGTAATTTTTCTGGTTTACCCAATGCATAATATTATTTCCTAAAGAGTGAAATGAACATACTATTGACACATGCAGAAGAAAAACACTGCATATAAAAAGACTATATTAAGGCCTAGACAATATAATTCTATATAGATATGGATAGAAATCTAGATGCTTACTTAGCTATAATAGCAAAAATCTAAATAACCTAAAAAGGTATAATCAAAAAGATTTTAGCCAGGTGCTGGTGGCTCACACCTGTAATCCTACATACACAGAAGGCTGAGATCTGAGGATCAAGGTATGAAGCCAGTCCAGGGAGGAAAGTCCATGAGCCTCCTACCCCAATTAACTCCAGAAAAATCAGAATTAATTTTGCATGATATACATTCAGTTCTTGATTGCACTCTCCTCTTCTTCTCCTCTTAATTTTTCCACCCCTTTCCCTGTGACCCCAGCCCACCCATTTCAAGTACCCACTTCCTAATGTCTTATTTTGCTGAACTTTGACTTTGCCTTTCCAAGGAATTACACTAGTTGAGTTCTCCCATGAATCTACTATATTTCAGTTGACACATTTGAATACACTTGCATACCACCCAATGTATTTCCTTATAAGTTTGTAATCTAAATCTCTCTGGGCCTGACTTACTTCATTTAACATAATTTTTTTCCAGGTCTTTCCACTTCTTTACAAATGGTACAAATTCCGTTGTGTGAATATACCACTTTCTTGATCCATTTGTCCTGGGGTATCTGGGCTGATTCCATACTTTGGCTATTGTGAATAGTGCTGCAATAAACATGGTTGTGTGGGTGGCTTTACTGTAACTTGGTTTGTAATCTTTTGGATAAATGCCCAGAACTGGAACTGCTGGATCATAGGGTAGCTCTAAGTTTAGTGTTTTGAGGAACTACCTCCATACTGCTTTCTAGAGTGGCTGAACGGGGTTACATTCACACTTACAGTATATTAAGACTCTTTTTTGGCTGCATCCTCACCAGCATCTGTTATCATTTGTTTTCTTGATAATGGCCATTCTAACTGGAGTGAACTGGAATCTCAATGTTGTTTTATATTTTCTTTATGGCCAGAGATGTTCAGCATTTCTTCATGTGGCTATTGGCTATTTTTATTTCTTCTGAGAAGAGTCTCTTTAGCTCATTAGCCCATTTATTAATTGGGTTAGGGGGAGGGTGTTCTTTTTTTTTTTTTTCATGTGTTTATGTGCCAATCCTGGGGCTTGAACTCAGGGCCTGGGTGCTGTCCCTGAGCCTCTTTGTACTCAAGGCTAGCACTCTACTACACCACAGCACCATTGCCAGTTTTTTAGTGGTTTATTGGAGATAAGAGTCTCACGGACTTTCCTGCCGGGGCTGGCTTTGAACCGTGATCCTCAGATCTCAGCCTCCTGAGAAGCTAGGATTACAGGCGTGAGCCACCAGCGCCTGGCTTCCTTTTGAGATTTCTTTCATATTTGTATATACTATTATTTACAGCAACTCTTTGCTTTTTTTTTTCAATATGGTTACTTGGAGGTTTGAACTGGATATGTGGCTTGAAGTATATTCAGATAGAGCCAGTGTTAAACATGAGATAGGACACCTACTGTCTATGTGAAGAGGCAGTGATTTGCTTATCCATCAGTTAGGAATAATAATTGTGCCTAATTTATAAAGCTGTCATGAACAGAAAATTATATAAGGCATGTAAAACATTTAGTACAATGTAATACATGTCCAATATGGGAGCTCCTTTTACTATTACCTCCTAGCATTACCTCCTAACTATTACTTTACTATTGCCTCCTAACTATTACCTCCTGGACAATTCGAGGGTTTCAGACTTGGCTCTGCAAACAGCCAGCTATAAGATTCACATAAGACAATGTATCTTCAGTTTCTCTATCAGACAATCAGTAGTGAGGATGGGGGTTTAGCTCAAGGGTAGCATGCTTGCCTCATATGTGCAAGGCCCTGAATTCAATCCCCAGTACCACAAGTAGCAAAAAGAAAAAGAAAGAAAATGGTAGCTAATTATCTGTTCACCGGGCTGTTGGAAGAACTGAATCATTTAAGGGTACCTGAGTTTACTGAGTACCTACTATGAGCTAGGTATATTTGGGGCACTGGTGTGTGGTGGGGGGAATAATAGACAAGTCAGTTATCTCTGGGGAGTTTATATTCAAGGGGAGGAAAAATAAAAAGCCAGTGTTATATAAAGGAGTATAGGTAATAACAGGAGTCCTGCAGAAAAGCAGAGTAAGAGGAGAGGGATAGAAGGATGCTACAATCAGCCTGAGGCCAGCCCTCCCTGACACTGACATGTAAATGAAGACAAAGCAAACAGCTGGACCAAAGGACAAGTGAGACAAGAAGCTGTCAGCAAGTATGGAGAGAAAAGACAGCCAGTACAGAGCTGGAGAGGCATGGGAAGAGGAAGCAAGGAGCATGGCTGGAGAGATCTGGCCCCAGGGGCAACTCTGGGTCTCATTCTAATGGGAGAAAATTTTCAAGCAGGTTTTAAATGGATCCCGTGGACACACCAAGGCCCCAGCACAGCCTGGCACAGAGTGAACGAGGGGACCTAGGATGGCACAGCTGGTTCATGTGTCACAAAGCCTCCATACCATAAGGGACAAGGAAAGTGGGTGTGGTGGAACACTTCCATGGTCCTGCAGAGAAACACAGCCCTTGAAATTTGCCCCAAATCACACAAAAGGTCACCTCAGAGTCAATATATTCCCTCTAACCACGAAGCCCAAAAGGAGGAAACCAAGTCGTGCCAAAACAAGGAGCCAGCTCTGTTCACCTGAGGGACCACCCCTTGGTCAAACCAGCACCAATACTGGTTGAAGAAAAACAATTTTTAAAATATAAATAATTGCCCAAACAATATTATCTGTCATTGCAGGAAATTATAAAGTGCAAAAAAAACCTATAGCAAGTAACACGTTTGGCTCTACTGAATAAACACAGGTGTAGACCCGATGCGAACACATGTGCATGCTCTATGTGCTCCATAAGCTGCGCTGCAGCGCACTCCCTTCACCTACTGCTGTGTACACTGCCCACACCTTCCCTGGTGGTTATTTCTAGAACAAAAGCTTCTTTTCAAGTCTGCATGGTACATAAATTCTGCACTCCCCTGTCATTGGGTCTACAGGGCATCTACAACCCCGACAGAAAGCTTCAAGTAGCATCTCTCTCTAGCACCCTGTCCGACAGTGTCTCCACCCTATCACATCTGTGGCACTTACGGCAAACTCCTCGGGAGTCACTTTCAAGACGTCAAAGACGACAGCGTCGTAGCTCTTGCTAGCATAGTCGCAGCTCTGGCCCTCCAGCGAGTCTGAGCTGCTGCTGCCCTGTGGAGAACACAGACGATGGCATCTGAGTGACTGGCATGGAATCATTGCTCCCAGACCTCGAGCAGAGGGTGCAAGAATGACAGAAAAGAACAATGAAAGAGCTCCCAGAACTTTACTTAGCACTTGAGACCCTCCACATGTCTGACCTCATCTCGTTCTCAAGGGCACCCCAGCTGTGCACACCATTACTGGCCCCATTTTACAGTAATGGAAGTGGAGGCATCTCAGCTGTGAAGCTGCTTTCCTATCTGACCTCAAAACATATACTATCAGTTACCACTCCTGCTTCTGGCCAGCAGTATAGACATGGGGGAAGAGCACAGGGCTGGGGTGGGGGGGAAGAGGTTGTAGCTCAGCTTTGGAGCATGCATGAGACCATGGCTTCCATCCATCTGTAGAGACTAAAAGAGAATAGTAGACCTGGGCCATTTTCTCTTGGAGAGGAACTCATCACCCAGTGCACCTCAGAAGGCCTTAGGGGGTAACCACTCAGCTTTGCAGGTCATGTACAAGTCACATTTAGAAGTCTTTCTTGTAAAGGATTCTGCATCCTGCCTGTGAAGAATGGGGGTCTCATAAAGAAGCAAGCTGAATCTCCTCAAGGATGGCCTATCTCATGATCCCAGAATGTGCTCACTATATGGATCCCAGAATGCTATACACATTTGCTTCACATGTCCATGTTTGTGAATCCAACAGGCTTACCACCCCAAATTGTGTCCTCTTCCTAAACAGTTCTATACACCTAACTCCTGAAGAAGGAGTTAGTGGTTTCCCTCAATATCTCACAGTGTAGGTTAGAGAAAATATTTTTATTAATTCTTCTTTACTTCATTCATTCCAAAATGGCTAGATCTGAAAAAATACTGCAATCTTACTGGAGACAAGAATGTTTTGGGCTAGCTACATAGGAGGCTGAGATCTGAGGATCACGGTTCAAAGCCATCCTGGGCAGCAAAATCAATGACACTCTTATCTCTAATAAACCGCTAGAAAACTGGAAGTGGTGCTGTCACTCAAGCGGTAGAGCACTTGCCTTGAGCTGAAGAGCGTAGGGACAGCGCCCAAGCCCAGAGATCAAGCCCCACGACCAACAACAACAAAAAAAGGATGTTTTGGGGCCAGAGAGGGAAGGTAATAGTAACCACTGGCAATGGGAGAGTGAAAGGAGGAGCAGGAAGGTAACCCGCCAGCTTCAGCAGGCCTGTGTTATGAAGATGTTCTTACAACTCAACTCCTAGGTATCTTTTTTTTCTTCTCTCTCTCTCTCTCTCTCTCTCTCTCTCTCTTTTGCCCCATTGGCAATCCTAAGATTTAAACTTGAGCCACCTTCCCAGCCCTCCAATGTTTTTAAACCATGGTTAGAAGACCCCATGGATTCAGAGAGCAGAATGCGACAGTGTATTTATGTATACTCATATGTATACATGCAGTACACACACAGATAATGAAAGAAGTTCCTTCTTTTCTAGGTGGAGTGTAACGTATATATGAAAACAGAAACCTAAGTTCTTTTCCTGTTTTTTTTTTCCTTTTCTTTCCTTTTTTTCCACCAGAGATACTGGGGCTTAAACTCCTAGCCTTACACATTTGTCCTACCATTTGAGCTACATCTCCATCCTGGAAGGGGAAGTCTATTCCTCTAGCTACCAGTCTATTTCTGAGATTTCAAGTTCTACAACTTTCCTGTAATACCATTGTACCTGCCTCAAACACACGCTATACAAAGAGACTAGTATAATCAAATGTTGCTCCAAACGTATTCACTGATTATGATGATGATGATGTTGTTATTGTTGTTGTTGTTGATGATGATGATGATGATGCAGCAACTTTATTTAAACTATACTGGCCTTGCTGGAGAATTTTTTAAATACCTACAAGCTTGATTTCAAGATTAGAGATCAAAACAAAGGCTTTTTTGAGAGTTTTATGGGAAATAAACTAGTTGCAGTTACTGGCTAGTTATCCAACATCATTTCAAAATCCCTGCTAGATAGGTGATCTCAGGGCCAACATTGTATCACAGGAGCTGGCATTCTCCTTAGACACAGAGGCACCAGGCCTCAGATGACACCTGTCCTCCCTACATCTATTCCATTACTGAGCTTGGAGTGCAAGTCCCTAAGCCCTGCACAGGGGCCGGGCCCAGACCACCAGGCCTTTACAGCCATTTCCTACAGAACAAGGTAAATAAGAACAGGGGCCAGCTGGAATGACTTCAGTCTGACTTCATTCCAGAATGTGTGACTTATTTATAATCGGCAGTAGATTTTCCTGGGAAAGCTCTGATCCCTTCTTGCCACCAAAATGGAATGTGGCACTTGCCATGGCTGGACTGGACAGGTATTTGTTTTTCTTTGAAGAGAATGACTTCAGAAAACACACTGATCCTCAGGGCTGACTGCCTCCCAAATCTCACGCCTGGTGTGAACCAGGACTGGGCATGCTAAGAATGGCAGTATTCATGCACCAGCCCAGCCAGCAGGCTCCTTCCACCTGGCCACCCGGTCCCTGCAGCCTCCATACCTGTGGAGTGGCGGAGGTGACTGACACGCTAGCCATCAGACCATTCTTCTTGTACATAGTCTCCAGGCCGCGGGGAGCTTCAGGGCAGCCTCTGCCGGTGACATAACCTGCCTGAGAGTCAGTCCTGCAAGGCAAAGGGGCTCATAAAAACCAGGCTTCAAACCCAATGGAACCCTCTCAGGGGACAGCTGTGCTGACAACTGAAGCCAATCACCCAGGGGACACCTTGAAAGAAAGGTCATCAGTGGCTGGTCTTCAAGCTAACTATGGCCCACAGGGGCAGATTGTAGGGCTTGTACAGAACTCAGTCTATTTTAAATTAATTACCAACATCTAAAAACTGGAAACTTTCACACAGTACTCAGACTCTGGCTTTTCTGGCAGCATGGGTCCATATCTCTGCCTGGCAGCCATTAGCAGGACTGAGCAGTGGCTGCCCTTGCATTGTGGCTTGCAGTCCCACCTGGCCTGCGCAACCATTTTCTGACCATGCCTGGCCCTCACGGGCAAGCGAGTGTACACAGCGGGGGAAGGGGCAAAGGAGGAGTGAAGATCAGCTGGTCCTGCTCCCCTGGCACCTCACTGCTCCATCGCCCCAACCCAAATGGCAGCTGACCCCCACGAAGCACTCATCATGTGCCATCTAACCCTCCTACCACTTGGAGGGAGGTCCTGTCACTATATCCTGTCCCACAGATTGCCTTTGCTCATGCTGTGCACATTGCATCATCATTCAAGACCCACTCCAAATCCAGTCTGGCTCCTGTGGCTGGACAACACAGTGCGGAGCAGGCTGCTCCCACACCACATGTACCATCACACAAGCATCCATCGCCACAAAACCCAGATGCACCACCAACAGCACTCCAGCAGGAAAGTGACCAGGAAAGGAGGGAAGATGGGGAATGGAGGGGCACAGGTTGGAAGTCCACTGCAATTAACCAGGCAAGGGAATAGGTCATAGCTGAGGTGCTTGTTGTGGGGCACTGCCAGACGGATGTGTGTCCTTCATCAAGAAAGGAATAGGAGTGACTCCGTTTGTAGGGAAAGATGATGAACTGGACTCTAGACACACTTAATCTCTGGAGGATGAGGAGGTCAGTCCTGGAGGGCAAGACCTCATCCTGGGTTTATCAGGGAAGATGCAAAGTGCCAGCCCCCTTGACATGTCTCTGTCTCCCACCGCTCAGACACAGGCCCCAAGAGCATGAGAGACTCAAGTCCAACAGACAATATGATGTCATAATCACCACTTCACCCTATATATCTCCAACTATTCTCTTAACTATTCCGAATGCTGGATAATTTACTTAACAAAAAAAGAAAGAACAACTGTCCAGGTAAAGAGGAAAAAGCTGAGCTAGAGAACCTAAAACCTCTTTTATGAGTAAGGAGCAGGAATGGGCTGAGAGCATTCATTGCTTAATCAGTTTTTCCCAGGAAAACGCATGTTCCCTGCCACCAAAGGTAATAAATTCATGGCTGTCTCTGCTTTAAAAAGTTGCCACATCATTAGCCGGGCGCTGGTGGCTCACCCTTCTAATCCTAGCTACACAGGGGGCTGAGATCTAAGGATCACAGTTCAAAACCAGCCTGGGCAGAAAAGTCCTCGTGAGACTATCTCCAATTAACCACTTAAAAACTGGAAGTAGCACTGTGGCTCAACTGGTAGAGTGCTGGCCTTGAGTACAAAGAGTTCAAGCCCCACAACTGACCGAAAAAAAAAAAAGAAAAGTAGTGACAACAAAACCTGCCATCTCTCAGGAAAGAAAATATATGAATGGGAAATGGAGCTGTGGCTCAAGTGATTGAGTATTACCTTGGAAAAAGCCAAGTGAAATCAAGAGGCTCCAAGTTCAAGCTCTAGGACAAAAAAGAAAAGAAAATGAAAATATATTAATACCTAATAAAGGAAATACAAATTACAATCCCGAAGACCTACTACTTCACACTCATTAAGATGACTAGAATTAGAACACCAAAATCATAAACAGGGGCTGGGGATACAGCTCTGTGATAAAAGTGTTACCATAACATGCACAAACCCTGGCTTTGGTTCCCAATACCACAAAGAAAAGAAGAGAGGAAGGGAGGAAGGAAAGCTAGAGGGAGGGATGGGGAACAAAGAGACCATTCCAAGTGTTGGCAAGGACATGGGAAAATGAAATTCTCATACACTGCTGCTGGAAGGCAAAATGGTACAATAACGTTGGAAAATGATCTGGCAGTTTTTTTTTACAAAGTTAAACAAAACAGTCCAGCAATTCTATTCCTAGGTATCTACCTAAAAAGGATGAAAACATATATCACAGAGGAATGTACAGAATGTCTACAGCAGCATTACTCATAACAGCCTAATGTTGGAAACCATTCAAATGTCTATCAGCTGGCAAATAAACTGTGCCATATACCCATACAATGAAATAATGCTCAACTATAAAAAGACACGAAATACTGATGCAAGCTACAACAGGATTAGACCTCAAAAATATGATTTGTGAAAGAAGTCAGATCCAAAGAATGTATGATTCCATCTTTGGAAATGTCCAGAAAAGGCAAATTTAAAGAGACAAAATGCACATAACAGGAGACTACACATGGACACAAGGGTGTTTGGGGAATGATAAAAAATGTTTTAGAACTGGATGCTGGTGGCAGGTACACAGCTCCAGAAACTTCAAAAGTATGACATTTAAACGAAGCACTCAAAGCTATTTCATGATGATGATTCAACTTGAATGTTTATCATTAATCTGTGAAATAACCAAATACAAATCATACTAGCATATGACAGGAGAAACTGTAAGATTAATTAGTCCTGATATTAAGCACTGAGGATTTCCCATGCAGAAGACAGGATGGTGAGGAACCCGTGGAAAGTTTCTCAGTTACGTAGACCTGACCCGCCAAGAGAAACCCCCATGACAGGCCCAGACTTCAAAACAGAGAGTCCAAAACCTGAGATGGAAAGTCAACCCAGCTCAAGCACTCAGAAGCAACTCAAGACTAGGTCAGGCCCCCTGAATTGTCTGAAACCAGACTAAATGAGAGAAACAGGCTGGGCTTCTAAGTCCAACCCAGTCATCCATCCTAAGCCAAAACAGAGCAGCTTGAAGGGAGACAGCCAGCTCAGCCTAGCTCAGCTCAGTTCAAATAGGATTGCCACAACTAGGTCAGGCCTAAGCGTCACTCCAGAGGAGTGGAAAGGGGAAGACAGCCTGGGGTGACCCACTGTGAGTGGCTGTACCCGCTCAGCTCAAGGCTGAGCAGGGCTAGGCTCTCACCCAAGGGTATCTGGCTTGTTGGACCTCCCCAAGGGGAGTCAGACCTGGAGTTCAGCCTGCTTAGCCACTCCAAACCAGAGGTCTCATGCTTCCTACTTGTCCTGTGTTGAACATGGGCATGGCAGCTCTCCACCCTCTTCCTTGACACCATTGGCTACCTCCCTGCTTCCTGCCTGAAGGATGCCACTCGCTTCTCCAGCACCATCTGTTGGCACACGTAGGTGCCAGGTGCCACCTCTCCACACTCCAGCAGCAGCAGCAGGAACGGAGAGCAGCACTGTTCAGGGAGACGCACTGGCTATGCATTATGTTTTTAGCTTATTTAATCTCTACAACAGTCCCAGGAGCTAGCGACTACTTGGATTCTTAGGAAACTGAGGCATAGGTAGGTAATTTAATGTACTGCCATTTAGCGCTAGGACCAAAGCATTCAAATTCTGCCATTCAACCCCAGTGTCTGCTGAACTCTCGAGCACCCCTGATACCGCTTCCCAAGAGCCCAGGTGGGGACTGGACAAAGTCACACGTGAAGAATGCTCTGTCCACCCCAGGCAGGTGAATACTTGATCAAGGTTATTACCAGTAGCAAGGTTATTTCCAGTATTAGTCTTCTCCTCCTCCAAGTTTTGTTTTTTTTTTTTGGGTCCAGTCATGGGGCCTGAACTCTGGGCCTGGGCACTGTCCCTCAGCTCTTCAGCTCAAGGCTAGTGCTCTACCACTTGAGCCACAACGCCACTTCCGGCTTTTTTCTTTTTGCTTATGTGGTGCTGAGGAATCGAACCCAGGGCCTCATGCATGCAAGGCAAGCGCTCTACCACTGAGCCACCTTCCCAGCCCCCCCAAGTTTTTTTTAATCCATTCTTTTTTTTTCCAACAAGTTTCCATTTATTTATTCCGCTCTCCTTCCCTAAAACAAACAAAAACTTAGCTGTAAATGCTCAAGAACAGAGGCCAGCCTTGTGAAGCCATGGGCTCTGCCACTGGGAAGGGGATTCCCAGCTCTGGGCTCGAGTCTGTGAGAGTCCCAAGCCAAGCCAAGGGTCCAACCCATCCCCACCTCCCAGCTGTGGCCCCAGTCCACCTACAGACCAAGGATGGCAGCCACTATGTGTGACCCATTAAGGCTGCAGCTGGAAAGAAAGACCAAGCGCTTGTTTCCGATCTGACTCCTGCATGTCTCGCCACTGACAGAAACAGCCTAATTTATGGGCAGAGACTCTCAGACAAGTGATATTTCACATGCAAAGAAATAACAGGACCAAGTAGAACAGAACATCCGTGCCAGGCCAAGAGAAACCCCCACCCATCCATCTTTGGTCCTGAGGCTCACAATCCCACAGCTTCTGTATCACGGCACAGACTGCCATGAGGGTTTGGCTGGCCAGGTCTGCCCAAAGCACCATTTCCCTGCTTCAGCAGAGGGTCCTGAAGATGGAAAACTGGGCCAGACAGACTAGATGAGGGTAGCCCCCTATTCTCCTGAGAACTCACGACACCCTGAAGCACCGGTCTTTGGTAGCAAGCCAAGCTGAGGCACTGTGCCCACAGAAGCCACATGGAAATATTCTTTGTCCATGCACCTGAGCAATGACAGAGGCAGAAAAACCAGCCTAGGGCAGAGCACCAGGGCCTTGGAGGCCTCATGGAGGGCTATGGGTCTTCTCAGGAGGCACCTGGAATCCTTGGGCACTCAAAGGTTCTGAGCAGGGAGTGACCTACACAACTTCTCAAGCTTGCTTTGGTTACTACGAGGAAAGCAACAGATCTAAAGTCACTGGACACTAGAAGGGGAGGACTAAGGCCTCAAGCTGACCTAAGTCTGCACCAC